TAAGTGTAGGGACATGGTACTTAGTGGATATCAAGTGTAGATGAAGCCCTTTGGGCGTCTTTAAAGGCAATTCAAGGTCATGTGACCAAGGCGGTCATCTTGGATTTTCATAATTTTATGAAAACCTAAGTTAGTCTTTCAGCCATTATTATTGATTTTTTATCACTAATATGCAGGTTAACAGGTGTATGTGTATACTTGTAGATATATCAACTAGTTTAATACTTTTATTGGTTAAAACTATTATTTTACAATAAATAAATAAATACAAGGAAGTTTAATACTCGGTGTCAAATATATGTATTACTAAATAAAAGACTTTCACATAACACTTTGTAGTATTCTTTTTTGTTAGAGTAGGTACTTTTTTAAGGTAGGTACACCACATTTGTCGGATTTACAGTTTAAATGAATCTTTACCTCTCAGTCGTCATCAAATGTCATTCAAGGTCAAGAGACCATGGCGGCCATCTTGGACTTCATAACTAGGGGCCGTAAATAGGTTTTATGACAGGGTTGTTTTGAGTTCTGACGACAAAACCATATAAACTGAATTTTATATTCTATGTAAAAGAAGCGAATTGGAAGCACATTATATTGCGCATGTTTACATTTGTTAAATCATATTTTTCTTAAAGGTATAAACTGCAAATCACAAAGTGCCGATGAGGTTATACTTAAAGAACAAGTAAACTATGAGCGTGACCTATTTGTACCGTGAATGTGTCATGTTTCCTTTCTATAGGAAGCGATGTTAGTTTATTTACACAGTTCAATCTTTTCCCCCCAAGTGAACACTGAGGATTCATTTAATTTTGATTTCTGTTTACTATTTCAACCGACCATCACAAGACATCCAAAGCGGCATATTCCCTGGACATTAGCTATGGTTGTACAACGCCTTACCGACCATCCCTAGGAATGCAGACCGTCTTTTGTTGAGTGTAGTGTATGGCGGAAGTAAGAATGAGATTTTGACTGAAGAGTATTATAATTAATTACTGGTTGAGATTAAAGAAACATAACACCTGGGTGACTCCTTGTCTTTAACTGTACTAACTATCTACAGGCATTAGTTTGGGTACATAGGCTGAAACATATTCTTTATTTGCTTTCTTAAATGTTAGAGGAAGCAAATTTATTAATATCTTGATTATTGATAATGTTCGAAAATTGGTCATTTCTCATAGTACAAAGTTTAACAAAAGTATACAGACATTAGGGAGATATTGTACGCGGGATATATTTGGCACATATAATTAACGAATGTCTTTAGAACGGACATTACATTTTACCGTACGCGAACCGCTTCCTATTTCAAAGAAGGACGATGTGACTAGAACCTTTCTGTGTAAGGTCATAGCAAGTGCTTTGTTTTCTCGGTAGGTCTGAGTTTCATTTCAAAATATTTCATTAAATCAAATGATTCAATGGGAATTGGGCAACAGGCTATGCCTATACAAGCCCTCTCCATTGGGTTACATGCATTTCAAACAATAACATTATTATAATTTAGACATTAACATATTAGCACTGGCTTGGAACATTAAATAGTACTTAATACTTAATACTTAATAGTCTCTATCTCTGGTCTGAGTATGCTAATAGAAGCTCTTCATGATCAAAATAATCTTATAGGTAAAATAATAATTGTTTAGAAATAGACAGACTTGTGATCTTTACTGTTTCCGAATGTCAAAAACGAAACCCTGATACAATAAAGATTGTTCTGATAATATATGTTTATGCATACTGCCAACTGTATATGCAACAGCTATAGCATTTTTATATTGGTGATATGAATAAGCGTTAAACTTGAAGCATTTCTAAATACAAAAAAAAATGTAGTATTTTTAATTCTATATTGAGTAATTAAATAACTACATAACATGAATGAGAAAAGAAATATTATTGCATGGACTTTCCACTCCGTGCAGAAGACCAATAGGAATTACAAACGTTTAGCATAAGGGAACTGGTATTGTGGAGGGGTCGGTCTATCTAATGTGTTTGAGTACAGACTCGTGAAGGGATTTGACTATCTAACAAAACCAGATGATAAACTATACTATGTACTTACAACGTTGCCAAATTCCTTCGTCTGATCTACATTCCAAGATTTTCAAGCATATTTGTAAAGTTACTAGTACATGCTTATCTAACATTTTAAAGGACTTCCGTTTAATATCTACAAGACATCATCACATCGTTGACGATATCCAATCAAACAACGATTGGTATCTTACCTATTGGAACAGTTTTTACTCTATTGCCTAATGATGAATTATAATAATGATTATTATCACAAAAAACTAATAGCGCCTTTTCCAATTTAAATAACCAGTTTTACGTGAATGACCAAAACACAAAGAGCACTGGGGACGCTATTTTAGGTGACACGTACTATATACCCTACCTGCATAGGAAGTCGTCTGAGTTGTGCCACCTGTGCACACCCACGTGACGTGTTGCCCTTGTCAAGCCATTCCCGGACTCGCTCCTCAAGTGACGTCAGAGCCATGTCTTCTTTTGTGTCTGGAAACATGACCGTGGCCTGTCGAGTATCAGGTAGAGACTTTGCGATGTCTAAATCGTCATCGTCCTCCAGATCATTGTTCTTTTCACTATCATCATTTTCTTGTTTGTCATCAGACTCAGTCGCTCGATGGGCACTCTGAATCCGACGAAAGGATCGCGCATTGCGTTGAGGAAGTGAGCGTGCACTGGGAAGTCTGCTCGACACAATTCGCGTTGGTTGCTCTGAGCGCTCACTCAAGGCATCTGAGTCTCTGGTAGCGCCCGACATTTGCGCTGCCATTAAAAGTGTATGTGGCACCCTGACAGAGTGTAAATGACCATTGTCGTTTGTGAGTGGCTTCTTGAAGTTGCCGCGTTCCTTGTGAGCCTTGTACTTTTGTTTGTGTTTTTCCCTGACACGGATCATGTAGAACACACTACCAGGTCCATATATATCTATAAGTGGACCCTTATGATTCAGGAACTCTTTTTCAGCAGCTGAAGCAGAAGTCAGCTCTTTTTTCTTTTTATCTGCGGAAGGTTTTGGATTGTTGTATGAATCAATTCTGTCTTTTAACAGGTTTAAAAATGGCAGTTCCTCTTTGTTTGTAAGTAGATTCATGCGCGTTTCTAATTTTACTTTAAACATTCCACGCATAGCCTCGATCGTACGTGGATGTCGTCGGACAAACAAACGTTCATAGTGTTTCCTTTCCAACACAAGTACGTCAGTCTTTTCGGTACACACGGCTGTCTGGGTGTATGTCGGTAGGTCTAACAGCACTTCCACCTCACCTATAAAACCACAGGCAAACATACCAGGTCAGTTGGTTTTTCAATTAACGACTTTTGTCTAAACATATGTAATGTAAAATAGTATTCATAAATACATCTAAGCATACTGACTTCTTTTAAAATAAAAACAGCATCACATTTTTGGACATTATTAGTGTCTTGCAGATGCTGTTTTGAAAAAGTAATATGATATAAAATGGATATTGGTTTTGAAAATGATGAATGGTAACGTTCTTAAACTATGTTTTTACGTTTCTGTACCTATACTTTCGTTGATGCCTAAAATGCACAGTTTGGAGTATTTGGTCGAGTCTTTTTTCTTAACGAAGGTGGAGTATTGTGCTTCCGTTGGGGGACGAATCCTCTCGTGTTTCCGTATCAACCTATGGACATACAACAGAAAACAATGTAGTATATATCATCTGTTTCTATTTTTATAATACGCAATGCTTATCGTATCATATCTGGTAGAATGTCTATCATTAACACAAATCATATTGATCTGAAAAGAATCAGTACCCGAGTTTTTGCTATTCAAATGAAACTCCGAAAAAGGGCAAAACTAACAAACGTTTGAAATAGATGTCTAGTATAAAACACATAGGAATAGTTGAATTTCGAGTAATCACACAAACGCACGGAAAGCCTTAGGACATAGGAATGGCATAAATTGTAAGTAAAATGATTAATCTGTAACGTCTCACCTGTCTGACTCGTCCTGAGCCTCCATGAAGATCCGGGGATATTGCACTTGGTGGTGAGATGGGTCGATTTGAATTTCTACCTGTCCGCTATGGAGAGAAAGTTGAGAACGTAGAATATTCATTGTTTTAGACGCATCTTTTCTGTATACTGTATAAGTATTTTTTGCGGTGTGTAAATGCTCGCATAGTTAGTATTAAATAGATAAGCGTGAACAATCAGCACGCAAATACATGTATATCGTTATACAGTATAACCTGTCTAAACCGGATGTCACCGGGACCAAACTATTTGCTCGGTTTACATATGTGTCCGGTTTTACAGGGACGGCATGTCATTTTTTGAAAATACAAAAATGTAGTGTTTTGCATACGATCTGTATACAAATGTTTTAACATAAACAACAGAGAAATGAATAAATTGCAACGTCTAATTATTTACAAAATATGGGCTAAGACGTAATAACGACAGTGCAGACAAAGAAATGTGTCAAATTTTCAGGGCGATCTGTCCCTTTATCAAGACAGGAACATGAACATTTACATATTACAGCATGAAACAGTTAATATTATTTATATATATATATCTTTGTTAAATTATGATATTGTCGGAATGATTCGTCATTTCGTACATGTATAACAACTTAGTGTACCTACGAATTGACTTCGATGATATATTGCTAAGTCGTACTTATTTTACACCTTTACGTAGAAAAGCTTCACTGGTCATTCGTTTGATGAAGGTGACAGGGTATGTATCGTCCTAGTCACCGGATCGTCACACATACACTCTTACTGGTTGTGATACATAACCCATCTTCTAGGAATGTAAAACTGTTTGAAGCCCAGTACTGAGCAATACACAACATTCTGTTTATTTTATAATACAGTATTGGAAAGCTTGATACAGTACGTTTTGTATTCATGTTTACCTTATCACAAAGTAGATGTTGGTCACCGGTCCCCCTTGTCTCACTAGAACACTGTCATAAGGCAAGGTCTCTTTATACATTGCCATCGTCAATTGCTTCCTGTATCGCGGTGCCCAGTTAGCGAACAATGGGTTTGTTTTGATAAATTCAACTTTTTCCTCGAATTCTTTGGCTAGAACAATCTTGACCGCTCTGTTGTAAAGTGCCCTGTCAACTACCAGAAGGTCAGTTTTTTCTTCAGAGATGATGGACGCTGTACGTATACAATCATCTGACATCAGCGCCACCTCACCAAACGGGACACCGGAACCTATTAATAAACACATATCAAGGTGTTCATTCAATCGGTAGATATGGATGATATGGAAAAAGCTGATAGAAACAGAGAACAAGAGAACCGCGAGGCTGAACAATATGCGCCCGTCGAATGCCATATAGTGTTATATACTTTCTTACATTGAAATAAAATCTGCATTATTCTAAGAGTGGTTAGCTGAGAAAATCTCCGGACAAAAAATCAAATACTGAAATGAACAAAGGGCAATAACTTTTGCAAAAATCGTCAAATCCAAATTATGTTAAGGGAGACACAACTTCATATCAGGATAATAATATATGCCAAGTTTCAAAGTGATCCGTTGAAAAATGTAGGAGGGGATTGTCGGACAAACATCAAATACTGAAATAAACAAAGGGCAGTTACTTTTGCAAAAATAGTTGAATCCAAATTCTTTTCAAGGAAACACAACTTCATATCATGATTATTATGTATACCAAGTTTCAAAGAAATCGGTCAAAAACCATCGGCAAGAAGATGGCAGATACGGAGAGAGCAGGTAAGGCAAATTCTGTCTGCATACTTTCCTCTGCCCAACACGATATCGGCTTCACAAATGCTATTCATTATTAGCATGTCTTGCAAAGATAATTCGTTGTTATTTTGCATTTCCCAGGAAAACGTTAAACAAAAATACTAGAGAATACAGAAGTGTCACGAAAACCACAATTCCAACTCAAAATCGTTTAATAAAGGAAGTATTTACATAGAGACCATTGAAAAAGTACAAGAATAATAGGACCAGTTGTTCCGGAAGGGCAGTCGTCTTTTGCTTCATAGACGACACCCACCATGCAAAGCTATGTTAACTCCCAGGTATGTCACATCGCCTTATACCAAGAGCTCGGGTGGTGACAACAAAATACACATCACAAAAATGTTCATAGTATAACAACCTCGATCTTCATATCATACAACAAAATACTGAAATAGAAACAAGAAGCGTAATCAGAACTCAAAATTAATGAAACCATGGCAGAACATGAACAAAACACACATTTTAATTGACACAAATAGGTTTTGCGAAAAATCGTTGGTCCCAGTTTTACCTAAATGTGTGACAAAGTTGCCGAGTTTGCTCTTGTCCAGTTTCCCCTCCGGTGTCCGGCTACCAATTTCCTCCATAGCGCGGTCATCGTCATCAGCATCTTTGTCTTTGTTTAGGATAAAGATAGAGATTTTACCGTCCAGGATGATGTAGAAACTGAAATAAACAACACAAAAACATCCAACACCAGACAACAAAAGTTTGTTCGGAATGGCGACAAAAAGACTATACCAATACCACACTAAATATTCCCGATTCAAACTGTCGGGCAGGTTACAGGGTGCTTCGTTTTTGAAATAGGAACGGACCTAATGAAATGATGCTGCTTCTCGACGAGCCTTAGCATAAACCTGCAAGGCATGCGTTGACATTTGCAGGTCCGTCAGGATTTATAACTGAATTATCACATAAAAAGGAACAGGATCTTATCGGGTTTGAATACAAATGTTGCGAGATAGCAATTTTACACGCCGATCCCGGATTCAAAATTCATCTTACACTCGGCATTAAACAAAACAAAAAAAAAGACATATCGAAACAATTAAACCTCTTTGACATAAACACACTTGGTCATCAATGAAGAATAGAGTAGGCCAGACCAAAAAGGGTTTCAATCGGCCTCCGTAGTTTAGAAACGTTTTTGATGCGGTTGATGTTTTGGAATCTTCAGATTAATTTCCAGATTAACGCTGCTTGTAAAGGACAGAAGAAACGCTCTTCGAACATTTTGAGCTAATAGGAGCTAAACACTACTGTTTGTTAATTAACATATGTTTATGTGCTCAAGCGGACAATATTTTCGACTGAAATAGGATTTAGTTACTTAAAACAATGATATCCGTAAGTGAACTCCGAATCCAAGACATATTTTAATGACGAATTGTCAGTAAAAAATGAAGATTTTTTTTAAGCGGAAAGATATGGTCACTGTCATCGCACATTACACAAAAGAATGTTTGTCACTTGGAACAGTGATCTTGATGTTATTTCACATATATTAATTATTGAAATGCATCTTTTTTTTCAGATTTGAGTTGCGATGGAGCACTGTTCAACATGATGGGGCGCTAGCACTAATTGGGCAATATATTTGAACGAAACTGTATTGTTTACAACTATTAATGATAATTAAATGTATTTCGAATATTTACGTTAAAAAAAAGGAAAAACTATTTGATCTTTCAGTGGGTTTAAGTCAGTTCATTATGCTAAAATAAGTTTTAACAAGTGGCGGTAAAGATATCGGAAGTAATGTCGTTTTTTGTGTGTGGATACCAGTCTTATCAGGCGACAACATTCAATCGGAAACCATTCGAGAAATACCATCCGAATTTGCATTTACTGTCTTGCTATGATAGGTCTCCGATGATTCCTACAGTATAACGGAAAGACCCAATTAATTTCCGAATGTTACATATGCATGTTTTACATTACTTGCTGATTTTGGTTTACATTGTATAACTACATTTCTGACTGGTAGGTTCATTTTAAGTCTGTACCGTGAAATAACACAGTGTATATGCATCACACTTGTTACGTTGAAGTTGATTTCATCGTATATCATATGTGACAGTGAATTTAAGGAGAGTATATTCAAGTTACACGGTGTGTAACGTTTGTTCCATTGCCAAACCCTTTACTCACCAGTCGCCTCTTTCTCCCTGCTTGATAATCATTTCCTCTTTATCATAAGACACCATTCCGCAGTTTCGAACAATATCTTTCAGGTAATCTGAAAATACAGAAGATTGCTATTAGATTTCAGTTAGGCTAGAATGATATTTCAATGATATAACGAATAACCAGACATGCAGGTCATCACCATGTTAATGATTTGAAAAACTAAATGCTGATGTTCACGGCTTCCTAGCTAGCAACGGATGTTCCTGTCATCTTTTTTAACGTATCAATAAAAAAGATTATTCACATTTATATTCAAATAAACGATTGCTTTTTGCACAATTGATTTTAAGAAATGTCATGAATAATATTTCATTTTTATTCATGAATAAATTTCCCTTGTCAACGTTGTGAGTAAAAGCATTAATTTTGATACCTTATCCGCATGCGTGTTATTTTGATAAGGTGGGGCAATATTTTCTATGGTATAGTTATCTAAAGGAAATCCGCATGATCTACTACCTGTGGTAGACAATCTAAGTTATGGAACTTGAATTGAAAATAATATTTCATGAACATTTCAATCTCGAATACTTCTATTCAACGCATTAGGAAATAGTATTATATAAAGGTAGCTGTTATTGCCAACACTGTTAATATCGTCACTTTGCGTAATTGCATATATAATGATTTTATTTTTCACAAAATTGTTTTTCATAAAGCAGACTGTATTGCACATGTAATTGAACTTTTCTCGGTGTAGCAAATTCATTATAAAACTATCAAAAATTAAAAGTGCTTGCTATTGAGTTATTGACTGTAAATAAATGGTATGTAAATAATTAATGACAAGTGCTCATTGTCTTCATTGTGCACTTGAAATACTCAAATATAAGGAGTAACCATGTATGCAATTCTCATAAAGATAATTGTTTCTTTATGCAAGTTAAGTGCAGTTCTATTTAGCTTTGCAGAGTATTCTATTAAGAGGAATAATTGAAATCTCAGCATGTTTTACCCTGTGGTATACAGTGCAAACTGCTTTTCTATCGATTCATCAAGTACATTATCTGATACAATATTGAAATTTTCCTTTTCACGTCTAACAATGAAAAGTAAAAGTAAACAATGCTTTTGTATCTTTGTTCAATATGTTAAACTAGAACGTAAATGTGACATTGTTTACTAGTCATCAAATACTGAGGTAAGTGGATGGCCTCATGTCGCGAATGACTACAAAATGTTCTTTACGAATCCGATCTATATACTATAAGTGGGAAGTAAATATAAATAAGATTTGTCGACATCCAATTATACTTAGAAACTTTGGAATGTACAAATACATAGCATTAATGATGTTTACAAAGTGTCATGTGTGTTAGATTTCATTCTCTTCAAGTAAATTCATTTCAACTTTCAACATTTTTGTAGTTGTAGAATATGTCCATTATCAACAAGTGTAGATTTGTTGTCATTCTTTAAGATATGTTTTTCTCTTTTGTTTCTTCTGTTGCGTGTCTTCTGTCTACAATTGAATTGATTTTTACCAAGGTGAACTAACACATATCCAAACAATGTTTGCATAAGGCGATTAGGATTGATGCTATTGATACAATCCGATTATACAGCGATGTCGTATTCAGCGATGAATGCAATAATTTCACGGCTGAATGGCTATTGGTGGTTTACCAGTGTACACCATAGCTTTACACTATCATAATACCCCCTCACTTCCGGTACAGCACGTTATTGAAACTTGATGTATCATAACCAGTTGTAAGACCACGTTCTATGTCACGATAGGTATTCTGATTATATTTATCGTCATCAATAGAAAGAGGTATGCATTTGACCTGAAATACTAGCCGTACTAGACACGGTTGACATTTCACCAGTATTTAGGCAGACAGACTGACAGCCTCTTTGGTTAAGAATTAAAACATATTCCGGCTGTATACTGTATACTCTATAACAACTTCGGTTAATTACATCGAATATGCAAATCCCTTCATTATTGTTTGTAAATACAAGTCCTGTTTTTTGCACGATCCTCTTTGATCTGTGGTTAATTTAACGCTAATCAGCATTTCGTGTTTTATCCATATAGATGATCACTATCGAAGACAATTAATAATCTATGTAACCCTTTCGGTTGATTACAGGTACCGTTCCAGGAAGAGTTCCAATATGTTCATGCTGGAATAGTTACAAATTCCGCTCGATTCCGACAGGATTTCAGGAAGAACGATCAAAGAAGTTGTCTTTATCTTCAGTCTTATCAGTTCCGATTGGATTCTCTTGAAATATTCCAATATAATGGTTCATGGAATTCAGTATTTTAGTACTTAGTGTAAATGTACAGGTCAGGTAGGTGGACAAAATATCAGTAAGACTTAATTTAATACTACTTCAAAGAGTGTTATACAAAGTCAAAACGGTAGAAAATTGTTTTGTGTCTGGGGTGAACAAGTTTTATAATAGTTATAGACTAAGAACTAGGTAGAATAAAATATAACATGTTTAGCCGGGAAGCGATTATAAAAATGAATTCATCCGTTTTTATCAAAATCGTCGAGAAAAATATTATATTTACAGAACAGGAGAGTGTACGGTGATATTATTACGCTGTGATCATTTTCACGTTTTCATCACCGAAAGACAACATCTTATCAATCCCTCGACATTTTAGAAGTACACATGTTTAGCAATGTTGCCTTGATTGAAGATGTTATGTATAAATAAACAGGAAGAATTATTTGGCAATTTTAGATTTAACATATTTGTTTTACGAACAGACGTTGTTCAGCCTCTATTAAGAATATAAAATACTGTATTGTAATGCAAATGACATAAAAGGAAACCCTCCATAAGATTTGACATTAAGAGGTTGAATACACAAACTGGCGTGTGCATTCTTAAGTACCTACAACTCAAGTACAATCCTCAATGATTGCACATCAATTACATTTTACAAGATAGGTCGACTTTCGGTTTACGACCCGGGTAAGTCGTGCTGTTGCATCGGGACATCTTTAGATTTATTACTTTACAGCCACTCACCGAAAAGGGTGTATACTAATCCAACCGGATATAAACTGCCTAGATTGTAAAGCAAATATCTCATAAATTGTCTACGACAGTGACGGCATAGTACTTTGACATTCGGAGAGTCATAATCAGATCCATTAGTTACAAGATTAAACTTTAATGGTTGCATGGCCATATGTCCAACTGTATGCCTCCAGCTCCCCAATCCTGTATGTTGTTCATAGCTATGATATTAACATATATACTGTCTACAATCATATCATTAATTTGTGTACAGGTACACCTTCTTGCCTTTTCCCCAGGATCACGCAGTGATTTAGACTCATTTCCGAACATTTTACTGTATTTGATATTTGAATTATTTATCAAAACGTGATTTAATAAAAGTTAACAATTTCTAGAAATTAGATTTTTTGGGTGATTTTCACGACATGTAGTTTGTTTAACGATATTTAATATTAAGATTAAACTATATGACTGTTTCATGATGCTTGGGCCTGGGTGTTCATATATAACAATGTCTTTCCTCGGAGGACAAAATGAACTCATTACCTTTAAATGCACTTGTTTTTAAAAGTCATATTGCTCAAGAAAGTCTTCTTTGTAACTCTGCCAATCAAGTCTACCAAAACCTTAGCCTTTAGATTGCTCTATCTCATTCAGTTTGTCTTTTACCTTTACATTACATTAGTGAAATTTAATCTATACAAAGCAAAGTACATTTTACATCATTTTGAATTTCACATTAAGATTGCTTTCATTCGAGTTCAAAAATGTGCTCAAACACTGCAAACAAGTTTAAACGACAAAACAATGTTTTGCTCAAATATCTACAAATCACAACCCGCCTGTTACGTCACAATCAATTAGACGTTATTAAACATTGAAACACGCCCCACAAACATTGCTCTAAAAGACGACACAGCGGGAATTGATTTTTAGGGTTATATTGACGAGAAAATTATCAAACATTAAAATTTGTTAATCGCTAACGATTTATCACGAGGTGATAATTAGGCTGTAATTTCCCTATCTGGATTAATGCCTTAACTTGGATCTGATACAGAGTTTCACCTGTCGACTCAGATAAATTAATAGCGGCAAACAAACAAAAATATATTTAGCCTTTTCGTTTTGTTTATCCAAGAATATAATAGGATACAAACAATAGAGTTGGCCCGCGACATCCTTTGTTTAACACACTGGGCGACGATTATATGTGTGAACTTGACAGTTTTCCATTATCTATTTTTTCTACGGACTTTTAAATGCTATGGATGTCGTGACCAAGCGTTGCCGGACCATTTGACCTGTATAGTAATATGTTTTATATCGAGAATAAATAAAATAAAATGTATTGTCTTACGTTAGCTAGTAAAACCGATATAATTATATATGAAAAAATAATTGCATATTTAAATCATGATGTTAAATATTTATAATGGAATTTAAATATTTACTGTTATAGATCAATATAAGATTTGTAATTAGTATCCGGTTGTCACAGAAATGAACACGGGCTGTGAACAGTATGTGGATATTCTCACGTACCTAGCCACCGCCTGTCAGTCCTTATACCCACTTGACTCGACGTTTACTGTCCTTGTCGGACAAACATTTATCTGGATCTCTGATGTATAATGTTTAAGATATATTTACTTTCCGATATACGATCCACCTTGGCGATCCCCGTACTGATCCACAGTAATTATTTATCAGTTTTCCTAGCATCCTTTGGTAATTGTTAGCTTAAGGAAGTTGATCATGAATGTATTGAAATCTTCATTTTACAGTGTTAACATTTTTCTTACGATACTGAATTTTAAAAGGTTTTCTACCCTACAGGTATATGTGATGTCCCACTATCACCAGGTTTGCGAATAACTCGTGATGTATTGAAATAAAATGGATTAGAAAATACTTAGTTTGGTTACATAGTTTTTTGTTTCCCAGATTTCGGAACATTTCTGATAAAAAAAAGTTCAAATCTGACAATAAATAAATGAAATAAAATAAATAATTAAATAATTTAACATATTGTTTAAAAAAAACCCAATAAATTAG